TATATATATATGTATTATATCTTATTGTATGCATTGATTAGAAATTGTACCTCTGAAATTAGTTTTGCAGACTCTAATACTCTGACAGAATTTAGCTAGCCTTGAGGAAATTAACCTAGACTTGTATGAATTTTGCCATCTATTTTAAAAAAATGACCTATAACTTGTTGGATAATAAATTACTTTGGTCCGATGAAGGGAATGAGGCAAATGATGGATTTTGTTACAGTTTAAGATTATTTTATTTTAAAGTGGTTAACCAGCTTACAATTAGTTTTTTGGTTCTGAATTCAAAATATGTTTTGTTTAAATGTTTCTGCTAAACTTTTTTTAAAAAATTACTTGATGAAGGTACAATAGTTGTTTTTTTTGACAACTTTCCTTTTTTAGCTAAAGGAAAATTTATTGTCATTTAGTGTTTTCATATATTTATGGTGACCTGAAGAGAATTTTCCCTGTCGAAAATTTCCCCAACTTGCCGGTGCAAACCTGCTATGTTTGTATATTCTAAGAGTAAACGGTACACAGAGATCTAGAGGTTGATGGTTCTTAATTTCCTTCTCAGAGTGGTCTCCTATTTCGTCGTCTTAGGGAGCAACATTTTTTGCTATTACCTTTTGGGACATGCCATGAGATTAACATTTTTTGTTGAAATGTTCCAGTACATGATTTTGCCTTATGGATTTCTTATGATTTTCTTTTGTTGTTGTCGGTTCTAAAGGGACAATCATTTTAGGTCACGTTTAAATAAATGGCTTTGCTATTTCAATTTTTGTGGAAGGTGTTAACTAGGATTTAAGATAAAAATTAATCCAAGTATATATAAGGAATATTTGGCTTAGATGATTTAATTATTTCCAAAAAGAGAAGTTTGGGGGTGTCAGTTGATTCTGATTCTGAAATTTGGTGCTGCCATTCGCTTAATAATGTGCTTTTTCATGCAAAAAGAAAAATGAAAAAAAGAAGCGGATTTGGAAGTGAATCAATGCTCAGTGGAAGTAATAGAAATTTCATTTATATATTTAACTATGAAGAATTCATCTGTTGCAACATTTTATTAACTTTTAGAATCCAGTTCTTGGGAATTGGCCCTTAAGTTTCATACCTTGCAAATCAACTCTGTTGCATAGGCACTACGCAATTGATATAATTTTATGAGAAGTTTTATTAAACAGGAAAAGGATATCTTTGTACTCTGGAGTATTTATAGAAGTTTAAGTACTACTGATGAACAAATTTTGTGTACTGGAGAACTTGATATTTTGAGTGGAAAAGACAGAATGGTTCATCCATAATTTTGATGAGAGGAGCAGTTCTGTAAGATGTTGGATTAGCCGTTATTATTATTACTTTTTTTGGTTAGTTTTTTAGATAATCTATGTGGTTTACTACTACTTTTTTCTGAGTGGGAGAATCTTAAGTTTAAGTCCAAAATTATCCAGTCTTTATGTATATTTTTTTGTATTCTAAAGAAATCGACTCATAAAGAGCTTGGTAGGTTGAGGGTTTGGATGTATCTCGTTGAAGCTATCTTATACTCTAGCTCCTTAAAGTGTTTCATTGCTTGTTTTACCTTTTGGGACTGGAACTGGTAATGAAATAAACAATCTATGTTTAAATTTGAAATTTTATTTTTATCAAACGGTTTTTACCTTATACTACTTTTTGATTGAAGTTAGCTGATCCTCATATTTTCTTTTGTTAATTGTAATTTAGTGATTTAATAATAATAGTTTGCCTTTTCTAAATATTGCTTAAGATTTTGACCAGCGAAGTGTGATTTATATTTCAATTTCTGCAATTATGTATGCTCTTGCGCAGTGAATTTTTTTTTGAACTCCCTGTTCATATTGTGTAATCCGCTAATTTTCATTTTTCTATGAGATAGTTAGCTCATCTTTATATTCTTTCTGACCTTTGCATCATTCAAAGTTAAAGAGCGCAAAATGTTTGCCCAATTTCGAACAAATTTTTATGATTTTCACGTTGCAGACTTAATCATCTATTTGCATTTTTTGCAGTTTACTTCCATCAGCTCATTTTGAGCTTTATATTCCCGTCTTCTACTTGTTTAATCCATGTGGTATTGTTAATTAAATTTGTGTGTTCGTGTGCAGATAACGCTGGTGTGATAGTGAATCCGAAGGGAGAAATGAAAGGTCTATTTGCCTATTAGAGTTGCTAGGGTTTTTTTTTTTTTTTTTCAGACGTGTAACTTTTAATTGGAATTGTGAAATTTTGCTTGCGACTTTTTTGGTTTTGCAGGTTCTGCAATTACTGGACCAATTGGAAAGGAATGTGCTGACTTGTGGCCAAGGATTGCTAGTGCTGCAAATGCTATAGTGTAGTTCATTTGCTTATGTCAACGATCCATAAATTCTACTGCTTGGAGGGTATGGAGTTTTGTATTTTCACTACTTGTTATTCGAGTTTATAACTTCATTGGGTCACTTGAATTTTGTCATGGTTCTCTCTTTTATGGTTAATTAAACTTTTCTGGTTTATGAAGAGTTATAGATATTTCTGTCATGTTTGGATTTGTATGTTAGTAGGGCTTTAGTCTGACTTGAAAAAATTCAGGTACGTATAAGATCAGGTTCGGTTTGTGTCAGTTTGTGACTTGAAAATGTGCATGATTTGAGTTTTGCTTGTTCTAGGGTTGTGCATGATTTGGTAAAGACCAATAAATCAAACCAAATTGAACAAAGTTTTATTGATTCTTAAAAATTGCTTTGTGATATTTGATTTTTAGCTATTGATCGTAGTTTGGTTTTAATTGCTTAACGAAAAAAAGAAAAGAAACTAAATGAAAGATTCATTAAATTAAATTGATATTGTACATATAAGATATATAATTTTTATGTTTGTTCATAATTGAACTCCAACTTATATGCAACTAAAATACAATTTGTTCATGACTGAAGTGTCTAAACCAAATTAAATTTTTGTTCTGTTTGAATTTTACCAAAATTTTTTGTTGGTTCTTTTTAGGTGATTTCAAATTTCAGTTGTAATTGGTTTTAACTGATTTAAGCAATTGTTAATTCAAACCGAATGGAAAGCTCTCCCCTAATCGTTCATGCACAAAAGAACATTAATGGGTTTGTTTGGGGCATCTTATAAGTGCGGGCGGTGTTTTGAAAACGTCGTCGTACCATTTGGTTCGCACGTTTCGTTTGCTTATCCGAAACTGCGTTTAAGTTTTTACACTAAATGCGGGCCGCGGGTCGACTTCTGCGGTCGGCCTGCGGGCCGCGTTTCAGGATAAACAGCTTATCCTGAAACGCACAAACTGCCCCAAACAGACCCTAAGTTTCATGTTTGTGTTGATTGATGATGTTTATTTGGATGCCGGCGTCAAATGTTAAAAGGAGATGGTTGACGTGATCATGTTTTATCCAAATTGAAAGTTGGACGAGGAAAGGAATGTTGCTACTTGCTCATTTATACCAAAATTCAAGACATCATGAGATTCTCACTTACAAATCTAAATTCACTAGAAAACCTCCACTCATCTTATTTTTTTTAACTAATTCTCAATGATTTGGTTGTGGCACTCAAAAATGCATTGATCTTGTAGTTTAAAAAGGAATCCCCAAGTGCCTGATTTTTATAAATAGCAATTTCTTTTAGTCCTGCACAGGCCAAAATGAAGGGTACCTGAGTGCTATATACCCTACTGACCCTTCAAAAAAACAAAATATTCCATTGAAAATTCATCATAAATTGAATTCTCAAAATACAAAAAACTGAAAGTAGAAATTGGAGAAGCAGCAAAAAAATAAAAATAAGTTAAATACAACCCAAAAAAAATGTTGAGTACATCCATCCAAGCTTTTAGAGCTCTGCCAAGCTTCTTGAGAAAAATAACAAAATATTAACATCTAAAGAGGGTTAAATTTCAAAGTAAAGATTGGATCGAAAGAGCCGCCAAATCTTAAAGACTATTAAGGTCAAGGAGCCGAGTTATACCCATTACAAATAGAAAGAAATTCCATCCAGTCTCTTTTGAGAGAAAATATAAATATCAACCGCTTAAATAAGCGCACAAGCTTTCATCAAACAGTTGAATTAATAATGTCATTCAAGTTTAACGAAGTAAAACAAAATAAAATGGAGAAGAATTTGCGTATGTAATACATTTGCAGAGCTGCGTACATCGGAGGTTATTCAAAGGGTATTGGGGGGGTTATAGGTAGTTTATAGAGATGTTATAGGGGGTATAATGCGGATATAACCCCTCAATACTCCCTGAATAATCTCTGATGTACTCAACTCTGCAAACATCTTATGTACGCAAATTTTTCTCAATAAAATGAGGACACTAAGATGAATTCTCAAAAAATGGCTAAATCTCTAAGGACTAGGTATATCATAGCTCAACATAAAACTTCAGCCTAAAAAGACAAGATCAAAGAGCATTGGAAAAATCAGAGAAATATCAAATTAAAAGAAAACCCAAAAATCAGAGCTTATAAAATCTCTAATAAAAATTAATGCCATATTTAAACTTCCACCTACTATTATACCTAACCACCAAATGAATATTAGTAATAATAAACTCAAGTGGTTTATGAGACTTCCTTAAAAAAATTGCTAATCCTTTCAATTCAAATTTGTAAAGCAATAGCATCAGCAACAAGAAGAAAAAAATTCAGGGTAACTTTGCAATTGGTATCATCAGCATGATAAATAACTTGAAAAATATTACTTCGAGCTAAAAAGAAATCACCATTACAAATGCAATTCCTTAAAATATTATGAGAAAAAGAAATATTCAAAGAATGAATGATTTTGAGATTCATCATAAATAAGGCAGAAATACAATCTAACTTAAGATGAAAGCCTCTATCATTAAGCTAGCTCATCATTTGGCTTAAGACCCCTATGAATAATTCTCTTGGTATAAAAAGATAACATGATAGAATAACTTTTGAACTAAATAACCCTAATCCAATCTTTAATAGGTTAATTTTCATAAATAGAATGACAAGTAATTTTATTAGAAAAATGATCCAAACATTTCCAATGATAGTTAGCTTTAATGTCAATGATAGAGGCATTTTGAATAAATCCAAAACAATTCAAAGGAATTCTCCCACCTTGAGGAAAACACCTACCACAATTAATTAAAACATCCTTAATTTTAATGAACTTGAGCTAATGAAATTGGTTAAAAATAGAATTAACAAAAGATTTAAATAAAGAAAAATCATTCAACCAAGGATCAAAAATATAAAAGGAATACTGTTATGAGTAACTTGGAATAAAAAATCTTCTCTTATAATAGTAAAAGAATAGTAAAAGCAGTAAAAGTAGAGTAAAAAGTGTTGTAAAATAACAGTAAAATGCAGTAAACATAAAATAGTAGCAGGTAGATTCCTGTAAAATAACAGTAAAATGCAGTAAACATAAAATAAATTTCCTTGATATTTCTGCTGCTGGTGCAAAAGGGTCAGTGCAATAAACATAATAGAGTAAAGTGCAGAGAATTTAAATAATTCACAAGAAAAATCATCGAAGCATTATAAAACTTCTAATCAAAATTTGAACATTTGTTGATCAAAAAATTGTTTTGAGATTTGTGTCATGTATCGAGATTTAAATTAGATGATATATATATATATTCATGCTATATATACTACTGCACCAAATTATATAGTGGACAGGGGAAGAAATTTACTACACTATAAGAGAGATCTTTTATAGTGTAAACGAATCGAGTCAAGCTTGTAAATTGGTTATATCCTGCACTAGGGTGTAAATTGGTTATATCCTACACTAAGGTGTAAACGAATCGAGTCAAGCTTGAGACGACATCGACTTGAGCTTGAGCTTGATTAATTCTATTGAGCTCGAGTTTAAGTCTACGAGTTCGAGTCGGCTCACGAACCGACTTATTTAGTATAAAAGAGATAAAATGTACTCACAAGTATTTCCACATCATCTACACACTTTGGTTAACCCATATGTGTGTGTGTGTGAGAGAGAGAGAGAGAGAGAGAGAGAGAGAGAGAGAGAGAGCCTATTAAATCTAGCGGGTTAACCAAAGTGTGTAGATGATGCGGCCAATCAGTATTGCAATCCTTTGCAGGTGAGTGCACATTAAATTGGGTGGCGACGGTCGCCATTTAAAATGAAACAGCACACTAGTTTTTGATTGATTAGGATATGGTTTTTAATCATATCTTCCTAATTTAATACCACGTGTAGCTGCTCATTTAATTTTTAATTAAAATGCATTAATGGACAAGAACTCCTAAACGGCGACTTGGAGCTCTCACACTGCCCCATATAAAGTTCTAAAGATAATTTTCCTTACATTAAGGAAAATTTAAGGAAAATTTACATACATACCACTCAACTCCTATGTATTTATAAATCTAACTCCTACCCTTCAATTTCCACACACACCTAGAGCGGTAAAAAAAGCTCGTTGTTCGCGAACAGTTTATGTTCGGTTCGTCAATGAGTTTGTGTTCGATTTGTTTGATAAATAGACGAGACGAACATGAACAAATTTTTTTTCGTTCGGTTAGTTAAATGAACCAAACACGAACAGTGATGCGTTCGTTCGTGTTCGAATCGTTATTGTTCGAAATATAAAATAATTTAAAATAATTATATAAAAAAAATTTATGATATTCAAAAAATTAAATTTTATAAATTATAATATATAGTAAAATAATAATAATAGTATATTAATATACTATATTAGTAATATACTG